GATTGTGTTGATGATGCTGTTGATGCTGATGTTGATGATGGTGATGATGACGATGGTGATGATGATGATGATGATGATGATGAGGATTACGAACATGATGATGATTACGCTGAGTATGATGATGATGATGTTGACGATGATGATGATGATGAGGATTACAACCATTATGTGAAGGAGGGGGAGCAGCAGCAGGAGGAGGAGGAGGAGAGAGAGAGGGAGGAGGGGTCAGGAGTCAGGAGTCCCAGGACGAAGTCCAGTCGAGAGGGAGGAGGAGGAGAAGGAGGAGCAGTTTGTTCTTTTTTGTTAGACCTTTCAGGCGAAGTTGCCCCCTCAGAGACTGTGATTACGTCGGGGGCGTTGGTTAAGGAATGTGCCCAGGAGGCATCATACCTGGGGGATTTCTCATCCGATGAGGGCGGTGGCGACATCCACGGCCGATCCACAATTGGAGCTCCGCCGGCTTCCAAACCCTGGATTTCTTATCCAATGATTCCTTATCCAATGCCCTCGCCGTAGTAACCTCTCTGGCGGGAGTCTCCTCATCAGAGAGTTGTTTGGAGAATCTCTCAGGCGGGAGCCTCCTCTTCAGTTATTGTTGGGATCTATCAGGCGGGGGCCTCCTCTTTAGTTATTGTATGGGGGTGACGACCAGGAGGCGGAGGAGGAGGAGAAGGAGGAGGAGGAGCAGGAGGATAAGGAGGAGGAGGATCCCCCCACCCCCGCCCGCCACCGCCCACAGGCAGGTCACCCGCGCGTGGGCTGATGGAGGAGAGGCTACGACAGGAGGATAACCAGCAGGGCGCACTACTTTGGAGTGTAATACTCAAATAGATCAGAGCATAATGCTCTTCAAACGGGTGTAATACCCAGGGTGTAGTCAAAGGCGCAATGCCTGTTTAGGATGAGGATGATAGGGGAGGAGCCACAGCAGAGCGTAATGCCCTTGCTCTTAGCAGTAGGGGAGAAGAGCACAAGGCTCTAGGAGGATGAGTGTAATACTCTAAAACGCTGGGCGTAATGCTCTTCACAGGGGCGTAATGCCCAGGGGTGCGATTAAGGCGCAACGCCTGCTTTCTTCAGCGTGATGCTGATTTTCTTTGGGCGTAATGCTCTTCACGTGGGCGTAGTGCCTAATGTACCCATTGAGGCGCAACGCCTGCTTCGAGCGCAATGCTCAACGGGTAGTAGCATACTCTTTCTTTCTCCTGGTCCACAATAATATTTTCTTCCTTGCTATCCCCCCCGCCCCTCTCTCATCGTCGCGTTGGGTCCGATGCATGCACCGGGGGAGAGTGCAATCTGTATCTTCGGCTTCATAATGAAAAAGATGATTGTTATTTGCCGCGTCCAACAGCAACGTGTAGAATGGCGTAGACACTCATCCATATTATATATCAGTTTCGTCATCGTTCTCCTTCTCTCGTACTCTCGTGCTCGCTCTCTCTCTCTCTCGCTAGGTCTTTTATTTTTTTCTATTAAGATGGGGTCCCCGTGGGGGGGGGTACCACATATATATATATATATATATATATATATATATATATATATATATATATATATATATATATATATGTATATATATATACATACATTTACATATGTAAATATATATGCATATTGGAGGAGGAGCAGCCGCACGGGGAGGCGGAAAACAGAAGCGAAGGGACAGCAACGACGAGGGAGGAATCCGGGAATGTGGCCCGCGCAGGGTCCTCCTGCTCCGCCGTTTGCGTTTGTTTCGTGTTTGGGTTGCTCTCTCTCTCTCTCTCGTTCTCTCTCTCTCTCTCTGTCTCTCTCCCTCTCTCTCTATCTCTCTATATATATAGACATGTATACTGTAGCGTTCTAGATGTACATGTATACAGACATATAAAAATATGGAAATGTATAGATGCATACGAATAATGAAACAACATGTTTATATATAGATATATGTGTATATATACATCATGTGTATATATCAGCCGCCCCCCTCCGGAGGCGCAAGGCTGCGAAGGTGTGTGCGGTCTGCTGTTATGTGTTGTGTGTTGTCGTTTGTTGTTTGGCCTTTTGTCTCTCCAGTCCTGTTTCCTGTCTCCTGCTTACTGTCTGCTACTAGGGGGCCCCGCCGCGCCACCAAACAGCCAACGTGGGGAGAGAAGCCTCAAATCCTGGCTGCTCCAGGCCACCACAGGATTCTCACGGTGACGCCACCGCGCGGCCAGAACGGCCTGAGAGACCTCCAAGACTGTCCGAAGAGGCTCCGAAGAAAGCCTCAGGATGCCAAGACGGCCCAAGGTGGCTCCAAGATGTCCCACGATGGCCCCAAGACGGCCCAAGATGCTCCCAAGACGGCCCAAGAGGCCTCCAAGAGGCTTCCCTAGAGGGCTCCACGAAGCAAACATCATAAATTGTCCGAACGTTTTTGAAGGCTTTTGGCCTTCTCGCCTTTTCGGCTTTCCGACGCTCCGAGACGGACAAGAGTTTCCCAAAATCGCCCCACGACAGCCCTAGAAGCCCC